GTTTTTTTTTAAACAGGTTCTTACTATGTAGCCCAGGCTAGCCTTGAACTAGAAATTCTCCTTTCTCAGCCTCCCAAGAGCTGGGATTGCAGCTGTGTACCACTAAGTTCAACTAACACTGGCTATATTTAGGCAGTGAAATTATGAGTGATCTAAATTTTTCTCTCTGTACCTTATAAATTTTGTGCATTGAGTATATATGAATACCATAATTTTAAAAAGTATCACCCAGGCCCACCTCTTAACTCAGCCTGGCACCACCTGGCCCTCCATGTTTGTGGCTTCCAGAGGAGATAGACAGGCATTTGCAAAGGGCACTGGGGAGAGTCTGCTGCCTTCTGGGACAGGGGAGGAGACAGTGTGTGTCATAAGCTGGAGAACAAAAGATTAGCCCTGTGGGTAGGAGGGTCCTTATATGCTGTGAGAGAACATGCTGGTGACATAGCCAGAGAGTGGTCTGCAGTGGCCCAGGAACACTGAGCAGATAATCTAGTGGTTGGTTAAATTCCAGAGCCAGGCTGAGACCAGGCACTGTCCCCCACCCACCTTCTTAGTGCACTTCCTCACCATCTGCTCACACACGCCCAGCCTTCTCCACCTCAGCCCAGGAGCTCCTGTCGGGGGCAGGGCTGCAACATGCTCAGCTCCGAGCACAGCCCAGTGTAAACAGACGGGTGCAGGGATGGGTGGAAGGCTGGGCAGATGGATGGAAGTTCCCCTAATTATCCCATCTGCCACCTGCACCTGCTGACCTTCCACCTCTCTGCAGGCTCAGCTGCGTCTTTCCCCACGAAGCCCTTGCTGAGCTCCCGGGGGCCCCTGCACTCCATGGCAACCTTGGTCTGTCTGGTACCCACACAATGTGACTCTGAGCTGCTTTCCTCCATCAGCAAATGAATCTCAAAGGCAAGGTCAATGTCCCCATCAGCTGTGGCTCTCCAGGAGACCCTACATCACAAGGCTTAGCACCAAGAGGCAATGACTCTTCTCCCGGGAGGCCATCTGGCTCCCAACTAATGAGTGGGGAAGGGGAAGGAGTTCTGCCTCCCTTCCCCCTGCTAAGAGATGAACCCTCCATGGCCCCAGGCTCATGTACGCCCCCACCCCATCAGCCAGTCCTTCTGACTTGCTCCCAGTCATGGTCACGAGGGGACCCGAGAGGGATGGTGACTCAGCCAATTCATCACCACAATGGAAAAACCCAGTCACCTGTCCTCCTGGCAGCAGGACTGGAGCTGCGTCTGCATCTGGAAGGGCAGCAAGCCACACTGATTTCAAGGTTCCTTTGTCTTTCACCTGCTGAAGAATCAAAGATGACAGCTTGAAGGAGCACCACTGGTTGCCACTGAGTGTTTACAGTACGGTACAAGTCTCAACGACCAGGAACTGTGTGTCCCTCCCCACAAGGCTCTGAGTTAAGGGACCATGTGCATCATGTCATAAAGGTTTCACCAGTCCACTGTTACGTCAAGTGGGCACTGGTCACTCATTTAGCCACCAGTGTCCACTATATTCTTCTACAAGGCAGAGCCCACCTCTCTCCAGAGAATCTGAAATACCTCTTCCCAGCTTCCCTTGCAGCTTTGTCTGAGGACCAGATGTGGTTCTTCCAACCAGACCTCCCACCCTGGACTCTGAATTAGAAACTGGTGCACAGGGAGCCAAAACCACCCAGAATCCATCAGAGGTGGATGGCAGCAGGGGTGCCAGAGCCACCTCTGCTTCAAAGGCTGCTGGGGTCCAGATGGCAATGTCCACTGCCTATGTCCATAGGCCTAGTAGTCTGGGCCTGTTGAAGACAGAGGTGGTTTTAACACCAGGCCAAGGCACAGTGTCAGGCCTGGCTCCCGTGATCCGAACACTGTCCACCCTCCTGCTAAAAAAGCCTTTTCTGCTTCTTACCCCAGCACCCTGCCTGATACATCAGCTTGAGTTAGAGATGGGGTCTGTGAAAGCCCGCGTCTCTTCTCTAGCCTAGGTGTGGCACCACCCAGGCTTCTGCTTACTTTGCAAGTCAGTGACTTAAGCATCTTGCAAGGCACTAGGAGCAAGGCCAGGGGACACTGCTTATGGACCCCTAGTCCCAGGCACCAGCTTGGCCCTCTGCAGTGTTCTGTGTTCCTATGATAAAAACCCCACCATCCAGCATGCCCCAAACAACAGGAGTCCCCCTCAAGGAGGTGACAATGAAGGAGTCCCACAGCACAGGGACTGCAGGCCCCAGTTGTGACTGGTACAACTGACTCAACCTACTTCCAAAGCACCTGAGCTTGACCCTGCCACCCGGGGGCTCTTACAGCTATACTTCCTCATTACCTAGCAAACCTTATATTCTGGGGGTTCAAATCTGCACCCTGACCCACCAGAATGCTCACTTGGAGCTCCTGAGTTATCTGAGCCAAAGAGATTGCCTGCATTAGTTCAAGGCCATTACAGACGCCCTGCGTCTCACAGACAGGCACATCATAGTGTTGAAACTCTTGCCGGGCAGACTTCACATCCTCTGGGGCCTGTTTTCCTCCAAAGAATTCAGACCACGTGAGGCCTCGTAGATTATCTTACTAGAACATCAGCAATTAGTTTTATCCAATGACTAGGTCTGAAATTACTGAAAAGGGTAGAACTCAGGAAAGCATGAAAGACACCCTAATGCAGTGGTGACAGCTTCATCACCAATAATAGTGGCTACTTCACTGACTGCTAAAGCCATGTGTGTGGCAGTACACTGAGCATTTTCTTCATGCTCCATCTTTTTGTTATTTATTATTTATGTTTGCAGTACTGGGGCTTGAACTAAGGACCTATACCATGAGACACTCCACCAGCCCTTTTTTGTGATGGGTTTTTTTGAGTCAAGGTCTTGCAAACTACTTGTCCAGGCTGGCTTCAAACAGTGATCCTCCTGATCTCTGCCTCCTCAGTAGCTAGGATTGCAGGTGTGAGCCGCTGGCACCTGTTGGTACTAGGGATTGATCCCAGGGCCTCCTGCATGCTAGGAAAGCACATGTTCCATCATTTAATTCTTACAGAATTCCTCTAAGGTCAACATCACCCCAATTTCACATAGTATACCATGGAGGCTCAGAGAGGGTGAGTAACTTGCCAGACAGTACACAGCCAGGAAATGGACTGTGCTTTTACAGACTGGCTCCTGACTTCAATGTATGGAATCCCAGCCTAGCTGAAGTTTCAGAGGTGGAGGTTCATTCTGTCGCTGCTGACCTCCCTCATCCCCCTTACAAAGGAGGGACACTGAGAGGCTGGGACTTCCTGAACATATGGAAGCCTAGCTTGCTACTTCCTATGTGGTCTGTTCTATAACCCCAAGCAACACAGAGTTGTCCCTGGGTAGGCATGTGTTCCCACCAAAATCTTAACCAGCTTCAGTAACTGGCAGATGGGTGAGCTGTGGAGCAGTCTGGAACTGAGGATAAGCCAGGATGGGCCTCACCATAAACCAGCCCAAAGGCTGCTGAAGGCCCAGGAGATGCTGCAAGTTCCCCTTGACCTCCCACCCCACCGCCCTCCTGGACCTCCAAGTCCACCTGAGAAGTCCACTTTCTTTTTGCATGACCAAGACTGGGACTCAGGGAGGGGCAGAGCCGCACCCACGTGGCTGTCAGCCTGAATAGAAAGCCTTCATCCTGCGCAGTCTTGCCCAAATAAAATTTTGGGGATTTCTGACTTCTATACTTCTTACAGAGGGACTCTATTCAGGGCCTTTGACCCTCCTTTTTTGTGGAGGTCGGGGAGGGGGGTGGCACTGGGAAAGAGCAGGGGAAGGCAGAAAATGACCTGTTTTCTCCCCCTTAAACAGAGTGTGAATTGCGGAGAGCAGAGCTAGGTCACTGGGTTGGGGAGGTGGTCCTCCGGGCCCAGACAGAACCCCTTGGCCACTAGAGTTCCCCAAAGAAACTGGCTCTGAAGAAGGCGAGGCGGGGGGCGGAGAAGGGATTCCCCCAAAGCCCCGGGTTCATCAAGACGCCCCAGGGCTTTTCTGCAAAGGTTCAGGGGCGCAGGAGTGGAAGGGAGAGAGGCGGCGGGGTGGGGGTCTCTACAGGCCTGAGGTTCCCCTCGGAAGTCCAAACAAAGACTCAGCAGACGCCGCGCGGCCACCGGGGACCTTCAGGGGCGGGCAGGGCCGCACGCCCACTGGGCAGAACCCCACAGGCTGGACTGACGCTGCCGGCGCCCCGAGAGGTGAGAAGCTGCCGGGAGGTCGCAGATCGCCCGGAGTCTCCGCCGGCTCGGCGGGTCCCGAGTCCCGCTAACCGTCCCGGCCACTCACCCACCGAGCGCTCGGGGGGGCCGCGGTGGGAGAAGCAGCGTCCAGGCCCCGCGCGCGGTGTGCCGAGCGCCCACGCCCCCCGCACCCCGGGGCCCGCCCCCGCGGCGCGCCGCCCCCGCCCCTCGCCCGCCCCCACAGCGGCGAATCCGCGGAGGGGCGCGCGGGCTGCAGGCACCTGCACCGCGCGTTGGCGGCGGCGGCGGCGGCGGCGGTGGCGAGGCCCGGCTCCCGCCTGCGCGTCTGTCTCCCTCGGCACCCTCGGTGAGTTGCGGCGACCCTCGGCCCTGCAGCCCCCGGCCCCTCCCCATCCCCGATCCCTTGTCATTGCGGCTGCGACGCGCCGTCCTCCCCCCCACCCCGCTGGCCGCGCACCTGATCCCGGGGACCACATTCCGCCTACGCCAGGGCGGCGCCCCTCCTCCCACCCCACCCTTCCCCGCCGGGCACCGGCACCTCCGGGGACCACGGCCCAACCGGTGCCCGCGCCTCCCTCCCGTGACGCCCGGGGGCGGCGGCCTTTGTTCGAGCGGCGGGCGCAGGGGCCCCTCCCGCGGTGTCACACTCCATCCGCCTCCCGGAGTTTACCCCGACCAGGTGGCGGCGGGCGCCTTTTGGGGGTGAGCGGCCGTGCAATTGGTGGATTTTTTTAAACCGTGGTGGAGGGGGCGGCGAGAGCTCCTCGGCTGCGGGCTGCTGCTCGTGCTCGGCTCCCGCTCTCCGCTGCTGCTGTCCCCGTCTCCCGCGCGCCTCGCCCCGGCTCGGCTCCGCCGGGCCCAGCGCGCTCCCCCGACGCCGCAGTCCGAGCCGGGCAGCGCCGGGTGCCAGGATGAAGGTGCTGGGACACAGGCTCGAACTGCTGACAGGTACCGCGGCCCTTCCTCGGCCTTCACCGCACACTACTTTCCGAGTTGGAGCGGGCTCAGGGCGCGGTTGGGTCTGAGTAGGACCGGGTGCGGATGCCAGTCAGGTCAATGATTTCTAGCTTGGGCGCTACCTGTTCCTGGGCGCAGGTTCTCCCTGGAGAACCAGCGGCTGTGTCCGCCTGGCTCTGATCTCGAGTCCCTGGCGCGGCGTCGGGCAGGTCGAGCGCGTGCGAGGGGATCGTGGGTCCGGGGAGAAACCGCTGGAGGCTCCAAGCAGCCGAGCTCAGATCAGGACCCCGAAAAGGGAGCTCGGAGCCCCAAGCCCTTCAGTCAATGTCGCTCATCTCCTGAGAGCACAGCTCTCTGGACTCATGGCAGGACCTCTGCTGTGGCCTCTTGTCTCCAACTCTCCCGGTGACAATCTGAGCGGCCCTTCCTCTTCAGGGAGAAGTTTCATGCTGGGAGTAGAGGCCAAGTGGCCTGGGAAGTGGGATGCCAGATTGGAGTGTGAGGACGGGGGTCCCTCAGTGTGGGGGTCCCTCTGGAGAAGTGACCAGATGCCCCACTGGAAACCTGCATCCAGAAAGCAGTGGCTGGAGTTCCTTAGAGAACTGTCGCTGAGGACCGACAAGGACGGGGCCAGGGTGGCTGAAGGGTGGGAGATGTGCACCCAGGCACGAAGCACAGTAGCACTGGTGGCATGTGTGTACTCCTCAGGGCAGAGGTGGTGGAGACACCACCATGCAGGAGGCGAGGGACCCAGTCCAGACCCCCAGACCTGGGACTTGTGGGTGCTCAGTCCATGTGTGGATGAACACATTCCAGTACATATCCTCAGACACCCTGGGTTCTTGTCCTCAGGGCCCTTACCGTCTGGAAGCTCTGTTATAAAGCCAAAAAGGGTAAAGCCTGTGGGTGCACTCAGGAAATGGGATGGCATCTGGAGCAGGGGACAGGAGAGGAACAGAAGGTTAGAGCACGTGACACCATTTGCAAATGCTAGCTGACAGGATGTCTGTTCTGTGGAGAGGGAAGTGTCTAGTGCTGGAAGGTCCAAGACTGGCCTGTGCCTTGGGGTGCGAGCAAGGCTTGACCTGGGAGTGGCGTGGCAGCTGCAGAGCCTGAGTGTGTGTGTTGGGGGTTCTAGGGTTGGGGGAGTAGATCATGTGAGGGTTTGGGCTGTGTGTTAAATCAGCCATGGGTGGTGGTGGACTCATACAGAGGGACAGGTGGGGGTTGATCCTGGGGTCCTGGAAACCCTAACTGCGTGCTCCTGACAGCCCCCTCCCCCAAACCCTTGCCAACTTTTGCTTACAGAGCTCCCCTGAGGCAGGCTTGGCCCACAGGCCTTGAAGGTGCTGAACTTGTTAACCCCCTCAAGGGAAAGTTTATATAGCCCATGGTTATTTAGAGCCTGCCTGGAGGACACAACCAGATCCTCTCTGCCCTTAGAGAGGGCCTGGAGGAGAAACGATGGGATGGCTCCAGTCAGGGTCCTGATGCAGTGTGCTTTCATGTCCCTTCCTCCACCATCAGTGGGCTGGCCAAGTTCTGGCAAACTCTCTAAGCCCCTGGCTAGGCTGCAGAAGGACACCTTTGGTGACTGTCATCAGTCACAGGCTTGCAGTGCCGTTAGATGCCCAGGAGACCACAGATCCCCTATATCACTACTTCTGCAGCCTTCCCTCTCTCTTCACCTCCTTCCTGTCCTCTTCCTTGTCTTATACATCCATTCCAACTCCAGTCCACCACTAGTTAACTGTGTGGTTTCAGACAAGTTGCTCAACCTCTCTGATTTCAGCTTTCTTATCTTAAAGATGGAACTGTTGAGCCCTCCACACATGGTTGGGACCTACGGCCTGGTATGGAGGCATCTCTGAGGCTGTCTCTCCTCCAGTTCCTTAATCTTGGCTGTCCTCATAATGGAAGATGCCACTAGCCCTAGCTAGTGGTCTCCAGAAACTTTGGATCTGCCTGTATCCCACTTCCTCCCTGCTTGCATGCACCTGGGAGATTTTGCCTCAGCTTCCCCTTTTGGATGATGAGCAGGTCACATTCAGGGTGGTCTATTTATTGTGATAGCATACAGTAAATGCTCAATAAGTATTTACTGAATCCCAGGCCATGTACCTTGTTCATCAGCTGTACCTCCAGGAGGATTTGTAGAGGCCTCTAGCTCCTTGCCCCCCTCAGCCTTAGAAAATTATTTGACTGAACCTTTTTAAAGATGCATGTTTGGTTCTGCATAGTTTTCCCTTTTTATTACCCTGTACATCTAGTCTACAAGGTCAGCCACTTTGTCACAGTCACACAGCCGAGAAGAGGTGTTGATGGGTGCAAACCCAAGTGCTGAGCTAGGGTCCCGTGGCATCCTGCCTGCCTGGCTGTGGGCCAGTCTGAAGCTGCTCCACACTTCACCCTCCTCATCTGGAAGGCAGGGTCGTTGTGGTATCCTTGTTGTTGGGTTCTTCCGCAATGTGAGCATGCGTGTTGTGTTGAGTGCAGTGTTTGACAATGGTCAGGAAATGGCAGCTTCAGGGCTACTGTCCCTGAACTGCCTCCTCCTCCGCTCTGCTCCAGTATCCTGAGTCCCTTCTTTCAGCATGTCCCTGTCCCTTCCCTGGGTTCTCTACTCAGTCCAGACCTCTCTGAGATGTGTCTCCAGGGGACATGTGGGGCAGAGTGGCATATGGTATCTGGGGCTAGCCCCTTCTGGCCAGATGTCCACAGCCCAGACACTAGGTGTGAGAAGTCCAGTGTCCCTCACATGGAAGCTGGAAGGGCCCATGAGTTGCCAGACCCAGGCCTGGCGTGACACTTTTTTCTGGAGAGAAGAGGGTGGTAATGGAGCCATCGGATCCTTGCCGGTCACTAGCAGTCTTTCAGGCTGCAGTTTTTCTGGGCCCTCTCTCAAGATACCTTCCTACAGCAGGTCAAGGAAGACCACAATTTTGCAGTCAAAGGCTGCAAATCTCAGGACCTCTTCTCTGCTTCTCAGCTCGGGGCACATCCTTAAGTTCTCTGAGTCCCGGCCTCATTAGTAAAATGTGAGCAAGGGGCCTGCCTCCCGAGCTTTGTAAAGGAGCCCAGGCCATAGTCACATGCCTGCAGGCCTCAGAAGGCACTGGCTAGGTGATTTTTACCTTTCAGGGTGATGAGGGAAAGTTGGAAGGCAGTGTGTCTACAAACACGCAAGCAGTTGTATTGTGCATTTGTACTCATATATGCTTCCAGGATGGTTTGGACTTACAGACTGCGGGCTCTGAAATGATCCCTTGGGAGCCTCAGTCTGGATCTGGGCAATTCTTTAAAATGTGTGATTAAAAAGCAAAAATTCTGCTATGCTGCACATAACATTTTGGTTTTATTTTACTTCATGGGTTGCACAGCCTCACACAGTTTTACAGGCTACATTCAATAGTGTTCGATTGTTGTCAGGTATGCAGCCTTGCTCTCCAAGGCTGGACATAGCCTGGTCTTCCTCTCCAGTTTATCCATCTCAGCAAACGACACTAGGTTGCTGGGCCATAGCTGTGGGGCCACATAGGTGAGCAAGGAGGCATGGCGCCCAGTGCCTGGGTGGTGTCTGCTACACTGAGAAGGAGAAATTGGTACCACTCTCATGAAGGGCAGTGATGTATCAAAGCTTAAAAATATGTGTGATGTGTGACTCTGCAGCTGAATTTTTAGGGACAAATGAAGTAGCATGCAGTGGTGTCTATTCAGGATGTCCACCCTGCCATTGTTTAGAGAACAGGAAAAATGGCACATCCTCACTGCCTAACAGGAGACAAGCACTCAGACCTGGAAACCCCTAGTGCACAGGCAGTTGTGACTTCTGCTGCCAAAGGTTGTTTAAGCACTCCAACAGATGGCCCCTTAAACACATGTGATAATAACAGTGATGACAGCTCACACATACATGGCATTTTCCATGTGCCAGGCATGGTCCTTCTATGTGTTGGCTTGTCATCATAGCAAGTTCATGAGGTATATGCTATTATTTCCTCCTTTTCTACAGATAGGGATGCTCAGGCAACACCGATTAATTTGCCAGAGGTCATGCCAATGGTAATTGGCCAGGTAGAATTTGAACCAGGGTATCTGGCTATGTGAAATTCAAGTTCTCCTCGCTTTTTTTTTTTTTTTTAAGACAGGGTTTGCTGTCTAGCCCAGACTGGCATCAAACTCTCAATTCTCTTGCCTCAGCCTCCCAAGTGCTGGACTTACAGGCATTCTGCCTCATGAGTAGCTTTTAAGTTCTGGTTTTTAAAACTAAAAATTAGTAAATGCACTAAGCACTGTGGTTCTCATGAAGCAGTCCCAAGGGATTCTGGAGAGCTGAAGTCCAGCATGCAGGGAGAAAACCCATGGGATGGAGAGCTGTGTTTGCTGGGTGTGAAGTGGGTTTTCTATAACCTGAGGAGGAGGAAGCTTCTGCAGGCTGAGTGAACAACACAGCCACAGGCAGGGCCCCAGGAACACTTGGTGCAGGGTCCTATTTTCAGCCTGCTTGGGTTAATACATGATTCCCTCAGTTTCCCACTCATGCTAACGGTGTGCTGGATTAGAGAATGAACCCCAAAGATGAATTCTGACCCTAATGTGGCTAACCTATGGGTGTTACCTTAGACGGCCAAAGGAAATTTGTAGATGTAATTAAGGAACTGACGTGGAGAGATTTTTCTGGATTATCCAGTTGGGTCTAAATGGACCCACATCATCCATGTAAGAGGGGGCAGGGATGTCCGACAACAGCAGAGGTCATGTCAGAACTGAATGCCACTGGCCTGGAAGAGGAGGAAGGCATACAAGGCAGAGAGCCCTGGGGCTAGGAGGGGCAAGGGAGCCCATTCTCCCCAACCACCCATCAGCCCTGACTGTGTGGCCTTGGGTTGAGCTTGACTGTGCCTCCAGGGTGGTCCTGGGATCCTGGGTAAAGCCAAACACTGATTGTGAACCGGAGAGCATCACAGAATCAGAGGTGTGCTTGCACTCAA